AACTTGGTTATCTTTCCTGCAGTATTCCCAGCCTCTAGATAAGTGCCTGGCACATAATAGATATATCAATAAATATTCGTGGTGAATGAACAACTGGTAATACTGCTGATTTGAGAAAAGAATTTGAAAAGCCACTTATCTTTTAAACAGCTAATAAGCAAAGTTGCAATGTTTGTCTTCTTTCTGTTTAATAATAACTTGTACAAGCAGAGAAAGTTTTAAAAAATGCTATTAATCTTAAATCTACATTCAGAAGTAGGCTGCAAATTTGACCTACCTAGAAGTAGGTCTCTGAAAAAATAGGATGTGGTGAACTAAATATTTAAAGGCTTCATTAAGAATGTTGTTTCGAGGCTTTACAATCTCTTAAACTGGGTTTTTAAAAAAACCTCTGTCTTACCTTTTGCTATTCCTCCAGAAGTAACAGGGTTAGTGATGAAAGAAAAAGATGCAACAAAAGAACAATTTAATAAGAGGCAAGGTACTCTTTTGCTTTGGTGATGTTGCAGAATTTCTGAGATATTTGTAATACAAAATGTAATCAATCTGTCTCTGTCTCCCTTTCTTTCTACAAGACACATTTTAAATGGCTTTTTCCCCATTTCCATGCTTCTTATCTGAATGAAGCCACAGCATCAGTTCTGAGCCAGCACCAGAAAGAGAAAGACTGGTATAGAAATGATTGAATAATGACTGGATAATGGCCTAAGGAGCAATAAATAAAGTCAATCAGAGTTGAATATTCTATGACTCTATGCAAGGATTTCCCTAAATCCCTAAATACTAAAAATAATGTAAAACAAGTAAAAGTGAAATAAAAAGTAAAATTTAAATATTATACAAAAACATACTGGTATGTTACAAATAAATATACAAAACACCTGGTTGTATAACAAGATCATTGAAAAATAAAAAGAAATTTGAACTAATTCTACAATAAATGTAGTAATCATTATATAGTTTAGTTAAAATATTAGGTGATTTGTGTTATGCTTACCCTGAAATGCAGGAAGATTCAGAGAAAACTTTGGCTTTGATATTTTCCATTCAAAATGCTATAAAGCAGACAAACATGGCAAAATTGCTCAAATATCATGAACTCCAAATGGAATGTTTACTACCAAGTATGTATGTATTTGTATTATTCAATATTTATTCTTCTGGAAATAAAAAAGGCCCAAGGCCTATTTTAGAAATTGATCTATTTTTCTTCAGTGGCCCCTTCTATTTCCATATGTAGATGCCAATAATCCTACAATTATTACTTTGCTTGCATTTGAACCATAAGCAGAGTTGATTGTCAGTTAGGTAACTTTTCTGTTTAAGAATTAGATAACCTTTCCAAAGTTTATTATCTCTCATATAACTGAGAAATTTTCTGGCTCATCAACTGTACTGTTATCCATTTCATCTCAGGGATTACTTCTCAATTCCCAGGTACTGCTTATCTCATTTTAACTAAATCCATATTCCCAAGTCATTTATCTTTACAATAACTATTCTGTTACCTTTTTCCTCACAGGAAGCAGACAAGGTAGCAATTTTGATGTTACCTACTATATAGTTTAGAATATCAATACATTGAAAAATCACAGAACTCCAGCTGTGCTCAGGATTGTATTCTTCTAGCTAGTGAGCCACTCTTCTACAATTCTATTCACAAGTGTTCCCAAGATTTAGTTTTATTGTTGGGGCACTGACAGTGGTGGCAAAAAGAAAAAAAAATATATGGGAGTACATGGAATTTGCAACCCAAATGCTCTGATTTTAAGGCATAGGGATTTATACCTAATAAGTGCTTCTGATTTTCACCATTTCTCCTAATAAGTAATCCAGTCCTATTACTTCTGAAGCAGAAGAAATGGAGAATCCAGACTTAAAAAAAAAAAAAGAGAAAAAAAACCATTCCTTTTCTCAAACTGTGATTGGTCTTTGTCAGGACAAGACAGTTGTCAAACAATCAGTGATGGCTATTTGAGGTGCATAAAAACATTTTAACTGTTTGTACTTGTTCTTTTCTTGTATATTTTCAACTTGTACCCAACAGGTTATCTTTAAGCACAGCTGGAATTCAGGGTGCTTTCAGCCCTTCAGTTCAATCCCTCCAAGCTGAGGTATAGAAGCCTCCTTAAACTACATGCTAGGGCCCCACTCTCCTTTTCTTGTTGTGGGTATTTTGAGGACATTAAGTAAATACAGAAGAGTGGATGTCCATGCACAAGTATTTGGGAACAAAGCAAAGACATCTGGCACAGACAGGAATCATTCCTGAGTAATGATGAGATGCTAAATGATGACAAGTTGGAGATAAGATGGTTACATCCAGCTTGGAGGTGGCCATTGAGTCTTCCATAGTGCCTCTTGCAGTTAGGATGATCAAACCTCCTAATTTGTCCAGGACATTCCAGTTTATGCCTATTGTCCCTATTATGGTTATGTAATCGGTGTCCCTTTTCAAATGTCTTCATTTGGGCAAAAAATTATATAGCCACCCTATTTATTTATGGTAGAATTCTCCCAAAGGCAACCACTTTTCTGCAGAAGGTTTTTCCATCTTGGGAGCTTTTCCTCTATCAGCTCCCTGGATCCTGTGTCTCCTGCCCAGCCTATTAACCTCCTTCCTTCCTCTCCTGATCTTATCCCCAAATCTTTGAATCTCCTGAAATTCTTTTCTTCTCCCTTCCATCATCTGGAAAGCTTCCTTTCTTCAAAATCCTTCAAGATCACTCTTCTGTCTATTCCCTGATCCTTACCTTCTTTTACAAACTTTAGACCAGAGAATGCTATTTCACCTGCACAGATGATCAGCAATTTGGACTATACCAGTGACACTGGTCTTAAATATTTTTAAAACACCCCTGATCCAGAATCCATCAACCCAGGAGACTCCCAGACTTACTACACCAGCCTCTCATAGCAGACATCTGTATTTTTCCCAGAACTCTACAGGCGATTCTCACATACAGTGAACATTGAGTAGTCCTGGCCTCATATGGCCCAGGCACTTTGCATGACATCTCATTAATTCTCATAAACTTACAAAGGCAACATAGTGTAGCAGTTAGGAGCAAAAGGTTCTGAAAATAACCTTACAGGACTAAATCCAGGCTTCTACACTTACTAAGTAACCTTTGAAGTTAGTAAAGCTCTCTGTGCTTCTAAAGCAAGTTAATACATGTAAAGCACCTCATCAGTCCCTACTACAGTAATTACTTTTAAAATGTAATTATGACCTGTTTCACAGTTGAGGACAATTCCAAGATGGCATGGCTAGTGGTGATCCTGAGATCTAAACCCATGTCTTCTGAATCTAAATTCCATGCATTTTCTGACATCACTGCTACCAAGTGCCCTCCTATACATAATAAAAGGCAGTAGCGTAGGCCTGATGAATGGTATGGGAAGAAGTCCTTTATCATGTGACACCACATAACAGCTGCCTAACTACACAATATAGATATGAATAGAGAAGATGGCTCAGAAATAGAGTGTACTAGTATTAGTGACTCAACTAGTGACCATTATAAAAGGAATGAAGTTTTGAGTGATTTTCAGTTTTAAAATGCATTTTATATTGAGTCATTATTCCATGTTTTTATTATTGTATTGAACTAAAAATAAACTCGGTAGTTTGTTCCCATAACAAATCTACAAAGACATGCTTACAAATTTTCCACTTAGTCCATTTTTCTGTTTTCAGTATTACTACAAATGCCTCATTCCATCATCATATTGAATTCTTCAGCATATTCTGTATCATTTCCAGGGGCATCTCTGGGAATAGATGCCTATCTTCCCTGAGAAGCACACTGATAACCCCAATATACCCACAATTCACACCTTTTTTCTTCTCTGAGGTGGGCTGCTTTTTGGCTCGACAGAAAAAACACTACTAGAATTTGAAATACCAAATTCTGGGCCTGGTTGGGTCATAAACTACAGAAACCTTAGGTCATATATTCTCCACAGGTGCTTGTTTCTCCACGACAAGAGAATTCCTATTTGCTTAGTCCTTAGTAGTCCTTTACTATTTCTTTTTTGTTTTTTTTTTTTTGAGACGGAGTTTCGCTCTTGTGACCCAGGCTGGAGTGCAATGGTGCAATCTCGGCTCACCGCAACCTCCGCCTCCTGGGTTCAGGCAATTCTGCCTCAGCCTTCCAAGTAGCTGGGATTACAGGCACGCGCCACCCTGCCCAGCTAATTTTTGTATTTTTAGTAGAGACGGGGTCTCACCATGTTGACCAAGATGGTCTTGATCTCTTGACCTCATGATCCACCCGCCTCAGCCTCCCAAAGTGCTGGGATTACAGGCTTGAGCCACCGCGCCCGGCCTACTATTTCATTTATCTTCAAATAACCCTTAAATTTAAGTCAGATGGCATTAGGCTAATTTTATAGAATAAATTCAATCTCAAAGAGGATACAGTCCCCCAAAGATCCCACAAGGAATAATATATTAGGCAGAGCTAAACTCGTACACACTCAGATCCTACGTGCTGTGCTAACAAGTTTGCTAAAACGGATGAAGCAGCAATTTTCCAGGTCCCTTCCAATGATCCTGTTCTCTGCTTCTACTTGCTATTTTTTCTCTCTTCTCTCAACTAGGGTTAACATTTAGCATATATAATCGCCAAATTTCATTTTCATGGTTTTTAAGTTATTCTTTAAATTTTTCTATTTCCATGTTAAATCCAGAGAAATGTACGTTTTTCTAAAGTTTCTACTGCTCTCTGCCTCTCTGAAGGCCATGGGACTTACCTATTTGTCAAAGCAGAAATTCCCAACATTTTGTAAACACCACAAATTACTTTTTGTAACTGTAAAGACAATTATTCCATACTTAAAACCAAATCAAAATAAAATAAATCCTCAATACTTCTTACTCCCTGGTGTAATTTTAATTAGATTCTATTAATTCGTTTTCTCCTGTGTGCCTATATTTGGGAAATATTGTTAGTGTACCTTGCTATCGAGTCTTTCCCTGACCCAAAAAATGATAGTTTTGAGTCAGGAAAGCTTTTATTTTCACTATCACATGTGAAGAATGAACGAAACACTTAACATGGAAAGTAAAACTTAAATGAGGGATTCAGAACATTTCCCAAGGGGTCGTATGACCAATCTAAAAGTTGGCATGATGTGCCTAAAACAACAAATTAATTATTTTACTTAAAATAAAGGTACAGATGTGCTGATAGTCATGCTGACATTTACATATGAAATATGCCTAAACAAAATTTAAAAAAAACAAAATACATGCTATGGCAATCTTGAAAAGTCAGGGAGCTCAATAAACATTAAGAGTATGTTCTCACAATAAGAGCATTAAACACTTGGTAATTAACATAATTTAATATGCTAAAAATGAGAAAATATACAGGATGAAAGATGAGGAGTACACATAGGACATTTTAGTGCTTTTCTTCATTTTGGTTGTATTGCTTTCTTGTCTTCAGGAGGGAAGACTTTGACTTCAAAAGTAACAAAATATTTAAGAAGGGAATTCACATCTTTCTGTTCTAAAAGGTACTCTTGCGCTATTTTCTCAGCAGTCCATGTTTCTGGATAAAGTTTATGATTATTGAGAAGTGTCAATGCTTCCACAATAGAAATCTTGCCTTTTGGAACGCTCTTAATATTTATCATATCAAAGTGTTGGCCTTTTGGCAATCTGAATTCCTCTGGCTCTTGAGGTGTTTCAGCAGCTTTTACCTAGTATCAAACAAAAGAAAAGCATGAGAGAAAAGATTTGACATCTACTTTCACACTTCTCAAATCTACACTATTCCTCTTCAAATAACAACTGATATGATTTGGATCTGCATCCCCTCCCAAATCTCATGTCACAGAATTGTAATCCCCAATGTTGGACGTAGGGCCTGGTAGGAAGTGACTAGATCATGGGAGTGAATTTCCCCGTTTGGTGCTGTTCTCGTAATAGAGTTCTCACCAGATCTGGTTGTTTAAATGTATGTAGCACCTCTCCCACATCCCCTATTCTTCTTGCTCTGGCTGTATAAGCTGTGCCTGCTTCCCCCTCTGCTATGATTATAAATTACCTGAGGCTTTCCCGGCAGCAGAAGCCATTATCCTTTCTGTATAGCTGGTAGAATTGTGAGCCAATTAAACCTCTTTTCTTTACAAACTGCCCAGTCTCAGGTATTTCTTGAGAGCAGTGCAAGAATGAACTAACACAAATACTATACGTCATTTCCCAAACTTCATTTTCTTATAATGAGCCATAGTTTAATGGTACTTTTGCCACTTTGCCTTCTCATAACTATAGCTCTATCATTATTAAGAAATGTAGGTAGCTCTAGAAAATAATATCAAATTTATACTATCCACTAACCACATTATTTCATGTGTTTTAAAAGCACAATAAAAATGATTAAAAACTGCACCTGTTTTAAAAGGGCAGGATTCTGATGCCACCCTAACAGCTGGCTTGATAACATCTATTCATTTTCCAGCTTTGTATTTCATACTCAGCTCCCAAACACCTTGAATAGTGATCTTGTCTCCCCTGAGAAAAAAATGCCTCCAATACACTCCAGTATAAATAAAACAACCTATGCACACCCATCCTTCCTTCTATCTGTCCCATCCCAGCTTAACCTCCACACATGTGCTCTGCATTCCAATCCTGTTTCCTGGCCATGTCTAGCATTTTTTTTTTTTCTTTTCCTTTGTTTTACTGCACTGTGCCTACTGCTGCTTTTTGGTCAAACAAATGCTATAGCCAGTACCATTTTTAACATACCGACCAAACCCAAAACCAACACCACTTTTATTACCAGTTTATTTCTCTTCAGTTAATGTTTAAAAGAAATAATGCTTGTGATCTCTAATGACCGCCTAGTTGCTTAATTCAGAGAACACTTTTTAGATCTTATTTGAACTCACTATAGCATCTCACTACATCTGACACTGCTGACCACACCAGTGTACCAATAACTATCTTCTCCCTTGGTTTCCATGCCACCCCTCTCAGAGTTTTCCACCTGTTCTTTCAGTGGGCCCTTTGGGGTTTTTTTCATGGACACTTTTGCTTACCCTTAAATGTCAGTGTGTGACATTTAAAAATGCCCAGGCCTTCCTCTCACTCTACACATTTTTCCAAAGTAATCCCACATACTCCCCTAACTTCCATTACTGTCTACATGTTAATTACTTCCAAAGCTGTGATCATAAACCTAGACCTTTTCTTGATTTCCCAACCCAAATGCTTAACAGGTGTCTCCACTCAAATGACCTATGTGCTCCTCAAATTAAATATATCTGAAACTGAAGCTATTACCAGTTTTACTCCTACATTCTCAATCTCAGTGACAAATACTGCCCACCTCCCATGCCAAAAATGAGATTATACCTGCACCTCCCTCTCCCTCACTCATTACATCCAATCAGTGACCAACTCCTGTTGATACTGCATCATGTCTCTCTCAAACCCATTCACTTCTCCCTGTATTGGTAAATCACCCTAGTCCAAGCCAATGTCTCTTGGAGAAATGACTGCAAATACCTCCTATCTGATCTCTCTCTCCGTCCCAACTCACTTCTCCCAAATTCACATCTCACATTTTCCCACAAGTGCACTGAACTCTAACCATTCTTCAAAGGCATCACACACTCTTATATCTTTATATTGCAAACTAGGCCTAAAACGCTCTTCTCAATTTCTTCACTTTTCAAATCTCAAAGCTTCTCTCATTTTCCTATTCCCAGGTAAGGCAGATCTTCCTTCCACTCCAAACACATCTGTATTCAGATTTCCTTTCTAATTAATAGTAAATATTAAAATTAATAATAATTATTTGACACAAAAAGTATCTAAGAATATTCAAAATCCTCTTTACTGAAAAAAAAAAACCCTTAGGAAATTAAAAATGGAAGAAAATATCCCAAGTGTGATATAAATATTTTTTAACTGAAAACAAGTATCGTTTTATTATATCATGCTGAAACACTTGAGACATCCTATGGAAGGAACAGGTGAGAATGCCTACTTTCAATGGCATGTTAATATTATATACAACACAACAAAAGAATTAAGTATAAATATTAGAAAGAGAAATTTATAATTCTATATAGATATAAGAACATCTTTAGAAAACAGAAGTAACTGAAAACCTAACAGAATAACCTAGCAATGTGGGTAGCTACACTATAAAAACCACTCACTTTCTGATATACAGTAGTCTCTGGCTTTATCTACAGTTACAGTTACCTGAAGTCAACCACAGACCAAAAATATTAAATGAAAAACTCCAGTAATAAACGATGCAAACCATTCTGAGCAGCATAATGAATTCTTATGCCATCCATTCCATCCTGTATAGAATGAGAATCCTCCCTTTGTCCAGTGATAGTATCCTCAGTGTACAGGCTACCTGCCTGTTGGTCACTTAGTAGCCATTCTGGTTACCAGACTATGTGACATCACTATGCCTGTGTTCAAGTAACCTTTATTTAAGCAAGAATGGCCCCACAAGAGCAGTGATACTGGCAACTCAGTTATGCCAAAGAGAAGCCATAAAGTGCTTTCTTTAAGTGAAAAGGTGAAAGTTATGACATAATAAGGGAAAATTATATGCTGAAAGTGCTAACATGGATAATAAGAATGAATCCTCTAATCCAGAAATTGTTATAATTGTTCTACTTTATTATTAGTTGTTAATATCTTACAACTAATTTATAAATTAAACTTTATCATAGTATACATTTATAGGAAAAAGCAATGTATATAGGGTTCAGTGCTTCCCTCAGTTTCAGGCATCTACTGGGGTCCTTGGAGCCTATCCCTGATAAGAGAAGACTACTGTACCAGCAATAAGCAGTTTAAAAAACTTAAAGTGTAAAAAGATCCCAACATAGTAACAACATTCCCTTTACCCTTCAAGGGCTTAATAATTAAAATGTTAATTCTCCTGAAATTAATCCATAAATTCTCATTCAATTGTACTAAAAATCCAAACAGGACTTACTAAAGAACCTGACAATTTCATTCTCAAATTCATCTGGAAAAATATTAATGTGTGAAAAGAGACAAGAAACTTTTTAAAAGAATGAGAGGAGGCTATAAGAGATACCAACCACATTATAAAGCTCTATTAATTAAAACTATGGTTCTAGTGCAAAAATAGAAAAATAAGTGAAACTGATGTGTATCTGGAGATGCATTTTAACTAAGTGGAGAAAGGTCTGGCTATTCAACAAATTATATTTAGACAACTAGCCATCTGTTTGAAAAGAGGTTCAACTGATCTCTTCCACACATCAAAAACCACATTTAATGCCAGATAAAGAATTTAATATAAAATGTAGTTATAAAACGACTAGAAGAAAATATAGAAGAGTTTATATGATGGTAGAGTGGGCCCAGTATTCCCTTACCATGAAAAACAAAAAGACTGAAATATTTGACAGAAATTTGAATAAATGTTAAAAAGTCAGACAACAAATAAATTATTGCCATATGAAAGGCATATCACTGATGTCCCGAGGCATCACAAATCATTAAGAACACTATGAAATGCCCAAAGGAAAGAAAGGGTCAAACAACATAAATAACAGGCAATTCCAGTTTTCATTATCACTTTCCCTAAGGAATCTTTTCAGACTTTCCTAATGTCCCCAGGAAATTTTAGTATCACCATATACGTATCTCTTTATGTATTATATGTATAACTGAGTCTTATACATAAAAAGTATTAATTTTTTTTTTTGCTCCCCGGTGAATTTTCAGATACATAATTAAGTAACATAAGAGAAAGAATACTTGGGAAGTATTACTTAACACCTATTTTAAAATAACATAAAGAACACAAACATTAACTCTATGCCTTTTTAATGTGGGCATTTAGTGATAACTGAACCCTACAATTACTACTATGCCTAACAATTTACAAATCTTGATTTTTTTCTCTGTACAGAAAATTATATTAATAATTCTATCTGTGCAAATATCCAGAGACAGAAAAACATTTATAATGAAAAACAAAATCTGGAAGTTGTTGGCATTTCCTTGTCCTTTAATCAAACTTTTACCCCTAACTAGAATCTTCGTGCCCCCACAAACTCATCTGGTTAACTCCAACTGATCCCTTAGGCCTGAACGTTAACTATTACTTACTCAGAAACCATCCCTGATCCTCTAATTTCAAAGGGGTCCCTCCAATATACTCTAACAGTGCCCACACTTTTCCCATAATTATATATTTATGGCCACATCGTAGCTCATTTGCTTAATGTCTGTGTCCTTCACAACATCATAAGCACTTTGAGAGCAAGGACTAGTTTTGTTCATCACTATACACAAAGCACTTGTGCCCAGGACTTACATAATACAGTATATAGATCTACACATAGATTCCCATTTCCAATGTATTCTTTGATCCCTCTTCTAATTTTAAATATCCTATCTGAATACATCCTTAAAAAAAAAAAAAAAAAAAAACAGAACAGCCCACAAAACCCAGCAACACTACTAAAGGAGTATCTGAGATTAGAACATACCTCAATCCAGAGAAGAACGAAAAAACATTAAAGCTTTGCTTTTGTCACTCAAATAACAACCACTGGAAGTTAACAACTTACCAAATCCTACAAATTCTGAAATACTATAAAATAATTCACACATTTGCTCTGCATCAATACTTCCACAAGTTATCTTAGAATTCTCGTAAATATCTAATGAACCAAGGCATAAGTGTCTTGCTGTCTTAGACCACTGTGCTTAATAAACTTTGCCAAGGCACGGTAGACTGATCACAACCCTAACACTTGCAGAGTACTGTTTTTACATCTTGCCACACTTAATCATTTTCCTGGAGCTCCAAAATAAGTAAATTGTATATTTTGTGTATTCACTTAATTAAACACACATTTACCTGCACGGAAGACACAGGATCTTTGGAATCAACATACACATCTTTTAGAAACGACAGTAGTTTGTCATCTTTACGGGCAATCTCTCCCTCAATTTCTGGATTGACTAAGAAAAGGAAAAAAGTCACAATATTAAACCCAAGGAAAATTTCCTGTAACATCCTAAACGCTTACCACAGAAACACTTTTTCTTTTCTTTTCTTTTGAGACAGAGTCTTGCTCTGTCGCTCAGGCTGTAGTGCAGTGGCGCGACCTTGGCTCCCTACAACCTCCGCTTCCTGAGTTCGAGAGACTCTCCCACCTAAGTCGCCTGACTAGCTTGGATTACAGGCGCGCGCCACCACGCCCGGCTAATTTTTGTATTTTTTGTAGAAATGAGGTTTCACCATGTTGGCCAGGCTGGTCTCGAACTCCTGACCTCAGGTGATCTGCCCGCCTTGGCCTCCCAAAGTGCTGGGATTACAGGCGTGAACCACCGCGCCTGCCCGAACCACTTTAATTTTTTTTTTTTTTTATAAACATAATCATTTGGACTGTTAGGAAATACTTTAAATGGAAATCAAAATTCCAGGTCAGGCTCAGCGTCCATCGTCCAGTGAAGAGCCCTAGAGAAACCTGTGACCCTCTCGGATTTTAATTCTCTGTATCAAGTCCGTGACAAGAGCCGGCAAAGGCAGGGTTAGCGGGGGCACAGGCCGCTGCCTCCGGGACTCGGAAGTAGGTGGCACCGCCCACCTCACTGCGGGCGCGGAGGGCAGTCTCAAAGTCATCGTCCCGGCGGCTCCCCTTCCTGCAATCCGCCGACCGGAGCGGCCGCGGCCTAGCAACCTGAACGCCGGTCCCCAGACCTCCGGGCACACGCAGCCCACGCGCGGCACAGCCGGGCAACACAGGGAGTCCGCACCCCCGCGCCCCGAAACACCCTCGCACCACTCACCACCCATCTGCTTTTGTAGGAGGCTGTTGGTAGAGGGGTGCTTGGGAGCGGGAGAGGGCTTCATCTTGCTGATTTCCCGTTCCGCTCGGTTTTCTACGTTGAAATTCCTGATCCCGCGAATCACCAAACCCCCCATTTCTTCATAACGTTATGCCCTAAGGTTCACGCCGCACGAGGGAACACCGGCGCAAAGAAAAAAAAAAAAAAAAAAAAAAAATTCCTGGACGCCTGGAGCATGCGCACCTGTGCCCGGTCGAGAGAGCTTAAATGGGTGCCCTTCGCCCCCTAGCGGTCGGGAGGCCACACACCGCTTCTCCGCCAAGGGTATTTGAAAGGGAGAGCCTCCCTTCGTGGCGGGTGGCGGCTCCCACCGGGGCCGCTTCCGGCGGGAGGGACAGTGCTTAAGTCCTCCGACCCACGGTTGCTCTTAGTCTTGGAACCCCGAGGGAGTCACCCGGCAAGGTCTGAAAAGTTCCGTGCCGGGAGACTTTCTAATTCCTGTGGAGTGAGGCCCACCATTGGATAAGACTTCCCACGTGATTCCAAAGTTATAGTGAAGAGTTGAAAATCAAAGACGTAAGGAAATTGACCTTTAAGTTGTTTCACAGGGCAGTGCTACAAAGCGCTAGCCCTAGCCGATAAAAATGGAACTTACTACACTGGGCTCTCAAGTTGCCCTTTTTCTCTTTTGTGAAAGGAAAATGAAAGGAAGTTCATTGTCGATGAATATTTGTTCTAGCCACTCTCATTTAAATGTCTCTTATTCCACCCCCCCCCCCGCGCCTGATGCATTTTTCAAGCCACTGCATTCTCTTTTTCCATTATTTTTTACATCCCGTTCTCATTTGACCTACTGGTATCGATTTTAGTTATGCTGTCCCTTCTCTTATTTTTGCTACTATTTCTCCATACTACTAAATGCTGAGTCATTCCCTCTCCTATTTCTCTTCTATCTTGCCTTCCTCATTCTTTTTAAGCCTCTGTAATTTAATGAAAGAAACAGCCAATAAGACATCAGAAAAAAAGCCCACAAAAAATAAAAATAAAAACGAGTGTTAAATTCACCTATCTCTCCCTCTCTCCTTTTCCTGAATGGGTTACTATAGTGCTGCTTTTAAGACTCTTTAGAGAAATATTGCTATTAATCTACAATAAAAGCCACCAGGAAGGAAGTAGCAGGATTTCCGAAGTTACAATATTTCTCTCACTGTGACTGCAAAATCTATTTTTACTGTTCTGAGCTCTGCTTAGCAGAATGAAGTAGAGTGGTTGTTTTTAACCAGTTTAAAGAAAGAAAATATTGTTGAAAAGATAATCGAATAGAATAATAATAATAAAACAAGAATAAAGAACCAAAATGAAGAAAGGGACAGTTTTTTAAAAAAAAGAAAACTAATGCTATCATTAAATATAATGCTTAATCATAGCAAAAGTACTGCAAAAAAGACAGCTTCAGCCACTCTCATTTAAATGCCCCTTATTTAATTATAAGGAAACATTTTTACAGGGATTGGTATTTGGAATTTATAGAAGCTGAAATCAGTGATCTCTGAGAGAGTTAACTGATGTTATCCTGAAGGTGGCAGGCTGCTCCAAGATTTCTGTCTTTGATACTTTTAAGCATGCTTGTGATTCGGGGCTTTTTAGTCAAGGTATTTCTATTTCTATGGGTGCTAAGAAATTTTAATCTGCTTTATTATGTGCTTTAATCATGGTAGCAGTTTGACTCACTGCTAAAATGTTTTAAAAGTGAAAATCTCATTTTCATAGAAATTCCACTGAACTTTGGGCAACATGAAAAAGTAATGTTAAAAGTTACGGTCGGAGCAGTAGGGATTACAATATGAAATAATTAAACAATTATGCCCGGATGCCCGCTTTGTGGTTACTGCATTCATGACTTTTGTCATTGTATTCATTTCCCATTGCTGCTAGCAAATTATCACAAATGGTTTAAAACAAAACAACTTATTATCTTACAATTCTGGAGGTCAGAAGTCCAAAAAGAGTTTTTTAAGGATAAAATTAAGGTGTCTGCCGAGTTATATTCCTCCTGGATTCTCTGGAGGAGAATCTCCTTGCCCTTTTTTTCTGGGGTGGTGGTCTTTTAGAGGCTTCCCTCATTTCTTGGCAGCCAGCAGTTGCATCACTTCATTGTCGCATCTCCTTCTCTGTGACTTTCCTGCCTCCCTCTTTCCATTGTAACACCCTTATGATTACATTGGACCTAAGCAGATAATCCAGGATGATCTCCCCATCTCAAGATCCTTGATGTAATCACATTTGTCAAGTACCTTTTGCTATGTGAGGTAACATTCACAGGTTCAGGGATTAAGAGACAGACATTTTTGGAGGGCTTATTGTTTTGTTCACTGCAATCATCATCTTTAGAATACCTATCTCTACCAGCCTAGCCATGCCAACTTAGTAAAATACAAAGACAACATAATGGAGAGAATGCCTGATATTTTTCATTCATCCCCAAAGAATTTATATTCTAGTGAGACTACCTAATTTTTGAAAGAATAAAACCATCTTACTTGGGTGGTAGTATTTTTTTTTCTGAAAGGTTTCATAAAAGCCACAGCAGATTACTACTAAATTGGCCACCAGTTAGCCAGTTCTACATACTACACACAGACAGGCAATTCTTCTTAGGCCCCCCACCTCTCATTTCCTCTTGAGCACCTGTATCAGAGAAGCTTCAATGAGCAAGAGTATGAATTGCCCTCACATACAAAGCAGAATGACTAGTTTTCCTATCATGGCATCTTAGAGACACCAGAAGCCTATCATCTTCCTCTTGTTACTCTTCCAGCCCTCTCTGGCTTAGAAGTTCACAATTATCCACTCATTCTTTCTTCTCTTTTTGTTAAGGTTGTCTGTATCCACTTTTAGAAAGCAAGAAATCCTGGAGAAGGCAAGCCATTTGTCGGAGAGTTATCAGTTCTCTGGACTCTTGGATTAGAAAAAGACAGTCGTCTGAAAATGGGAAGTTAGGGGAAAGTAGAAAAAAAAAGCCTACTGGTAAAAAGTGGGAGATTAGAGAGAAGGAAAAAAGGGATAAAGGCTGGCTGGGCGCGGTGGCTCACGCCTATAATCCCAGCACTTTGGGAGGCCGAGGTGGGTGGATCATGAGGTCAAGAGATCGAGACCATCCTGGTCAACATGGCGAAGCCCCATCTCTACTAAAAATACAAAAATTAGCTGGGCATGGTGGCGCCCGCCTGTAGTCCCAGCTACTCGGGAGGCTAAGGCAGGAGAATTGCTTGAATCCAGGAGGCGGAGGTTGTGGTGAGCTGAGATTGCGCCATTGCACTCCAGCCTGGGTAACGAGAGTGAAACTCCGTCTCAAAAAAAAAAAAAAAAAGAAAGAAAAGAAAAAGAAAAAAAAAGGGGATAAAAGCATAGAGTCGGAGGCAGAAAGGAGCATCCTCATCCCTTAACCTGACCAAGGAGACTCATTACCCAGCTCTTCTCTCTGCAGCTTCTCCTCTGCCATTCTATTTGTACAAACTATTTAGAAATTAACAACAGTAAAAGAAATACTTGTCAAAACCTGTGGAATGCAACTAAAGCAGTACTGGAAGAAAATCTATGTGTTTGTATATGTGTATTAAATATATTTGTCAGAACACTAGAAAGATGACAGGTAATGAATTTGAACTAAGCATTCAAGTCAAAAACACAGAAAGTAAGTATCAAAATAAATCCAGTTTTTATTTCCAACTTTTATTTTGAGTTCATGGATAATGTGCAGGATGTGCAGGTTTGTTACTTAGGTAAACATATGAAATGGTGGTTTGCTGCATAGATCATCCCATCACCTAGGTATGAAGCTCAGCATCCACCAGCTGTTCTTCCTGATTCTTTCCCTCCTCCCTCCAACAAGCTCTAGTGTGTGTTGTTCCCCCTCCATGTGAGTACGTGTTCTCATAATTAAGTTCCCACTTGTAAGTGAGAACATGCAGTATTTGGTTTTCTGTTCCTGTGTTAGTTTGCTAAGGATAATGGCCTCCAACTCCAGCCATCTCCCTGCAAAGGACATGATCTCATTCCTTTTTATAGCTGCATAGTATTCCATGGTATATATGTACCACATTTTCTTTATCTAGTCTGTCATTGATGGACATGTAGGTTGATTCCATGTCTTTGCTACTGTGAATAGCCAATTCTGACTGGTGTGGGATGGTATCTCATTGTTTTGATATTGTTATGATAGTCATTCTGACTGGTGTGGGATGGTATCTCATTGTGGTTCTGTTTTACATTTCTCTAAGGATCAGTGATGAGCTTTTTTTCATATGTTTGTTTGCTACATGTATGTTTTGAGAAGTGTCTGGGCATCATGTCTTTTGCCTACTTTTTAATTGGATTGGTTATTTCTTGTAAATTTCTTTATAGATGCTGGATAGTGAACCTTTGTCAGATGCATGGAATGCAAAAATTTTCTCCCATTCTGTAGGTTGTCTATTTACTCTGTTGGTAGTTTCTTTTGTATGCAGAGCTCTTTAGTTTAATTAGATGCTATTTGTCAATTTTTGTTTCTGTTGCAATTGCTTTTGGCATCTTCGCCATGAATCTTTACTGTGACTATCTCCTGAATGGTATTGCCTAGGTTTTCTCCTAGAGTTTTCATAGTTTTGGGTTTTACATTTAAGTATTTTATCCACCTTGAGTTGATTTTTATATATAGTGTAAGGAAGAGGTACAGTGTTAATTTTCTGCATAGGTTAGCCAGTTCTCCCAGCAACATTAATAAATAGGAAATCATTTCCCCCATTGCTTGTTTTTGTCAGGTCTTTCAAAGATCAAATGATCATAGGTGTGTGCTCTTATTTCTGGCTTCTCTTATGTTCTATTGGTCTATGTGTCTATTCTCGTCCTAGTAACATGCTGTTTTGGTTACTGTAGCCCTGTAGTATAGTTTGAAGTTGGGTAGCATGATCCTTCCAGCTTTGTTCTTTTTGCTTAGATAAATCCAAAAATTTCTTTAGAGGACTGAAGATAAAGCAGAAATCAACTACATAGAAAACAAAGAACAACAACAACAAAAAAACCCAGTTGGTTCTTTGAGAATATAAAATCTGACAAATTCAAGTGAAAATAAAAGAACAAGTAAAATACATTAAAAATTGTTTGGAAAGAATATGATCATAAATATAGAGACATTTTTTAAAATTAAAAGAAAATATATATAAATTTATATACAATTATAATACTTATATGGTCTCATTCCCTTGTGTGACATGCTTCTAGCAATAGAATATAGCAAATATGAATATAATACAGTCAAATAGAAAATAACAGAATAAGGCATAGATACAGAATAGAATAGATTATGGTCACTTTCATGATTATGTTATATAAGACTTCACCTTAGGAGACAACAGTGAGGTATTCTCCTGTTGGTTTTGAAGAAGCAAGCTGCCATGTTGTTAGAGTGTCTTTGAGAGAACCTGTAAGGAGGCCATATGGCAAGGAACTAATGGCCTTTACGAGGTAAGAGGAGGCCCCATGTGACAACCCTCAAAAAACAGATATCTCAATCCTATCACCATAAGGAACTTAATTTTGCCAATGACCAAGTAAGCCTGGAAAAGTACTGCTGAGCTCCAGAAATTAAGACAGTTCAGTCAATACTATATAATCATTTCAATGGATTCCCAATAAAGATATGGTTAAATTCAACACCCATTACTAATAATAAATTTAGCTAGCAGAGAATGGAAGAAACTACCTTTACTTTATAAAGGGTACAATTCAGAAAATCGTGGCAAATATAGTATTGACCAGCTGACAAAGAACAAGAAAAAGAAATAAGAATTATAAATGTTATGTTATTTGTTCTTTTGCAAAATCAGTAACTCTGTCTGCCTAGAAAATTGGAGAGAATCAGGCAAAGACTATTAGATCTAATAAAATAAGGTAGCTGAATAGCTAGCCTACCCATCAGTTAGAAAACATAATGGCCAAGGCCCAGGGTGATGGGTCATGCTTGTAATCCCAGCAGTTTGGAAGGCCAAGGCCGGTAGATCACTGGAGTCCAGAAGTTCAAGACCAGCCTGGTCAACATGGTGAAACCCTGCGCCTACTAAAAATATAAAAATCATCCAGGCGTGATGGTGCACGTTGGTAATCCCAGCTTTTTGGGAGGCTGAGGCACGAGAATTGCTTGAACCTAGGAGGTGGAGGTTGCATTGAGCCGAGATCAGGCCACTGTATTCCAGCCTGGGCAACAGAGCAAGACTTTGTCAAAAAAAGAAAGAAAAGAAAAGAAAAGGAAAGAAAAGGAAAGGAAAGGAAAGGAAAGGAAAGGAAAGGAAAGGAAAGGAAAGGAAAGGAAAGGAAAGGAAAGGAAAGGAAAGGAAAGGAAAGAAAAGAAAGAAGAAAGAAAGAAAGAAAGAAAGAAAGAAAGAAAGAAAGAAAGAAAGAAAAAGAAAGGAAAGAAGGAAGGAAGGAAGGAAGGAAGGAAGGAAGGAAGGAAGGAAGGAAGGAAGGAAGGAAGAAAGGAAGGAAGGGAAGGAAAGAAAGAGAAAAGAGTAATAAAATAAAATGGTCAAAAAAGTTTCATGGATCATGACCACAAAAATTATTATGCATCTCAAAATAAACTTAGAAATATGTGTAAAACTCTAAGTAAACCACAAAAATTATGAAAGAATATAAACACACAAGGCTAGACATACCAGGTTCCTTGATGCAAAGTCTGCACAGTGTAACAGTGTCAATTATTCAAAAAATTAATCAATTAATTTGATACTTTCAATTTCAATTAAAATTGTAATAGCATTTTAATGAAGCTCAATCACTGATAATCAAGTTCATCCACAAAAGAAAATATGAAAAAATAGCCAAAAGATTTTTGAAAAACAGCAATTAGCTAGAACTTCACCCTATATCAGAATATAATATAAAACTTTACAGTATGGTATTGATATGATCATGACAAGACAAATGTAGTTATGTACAGGGCAACATTTAAAATCACTCTGTGATGTAGGGATATAATTTTTTCCCCACAAACAACTGAATTTCCAACCTCGGTTTGCCATTTTCCCTTGCTATCCATTCCCATTTATAACAATTCCCTGTCTTCTTTCTTCACTCCAGCTTTCCCTGCAGCATCAATTTGCTTTCATCGTGTATCTGTCCCTCCACGTCCCCATGGACTTGCTTTATATGGAAGTAAGAAACACCTCATCATAGCAGTTTTGGTTTGATTGCAATGAGATAATTTTTTCCATCCATAGCAATTCAATCAATACTATAGTTGTCCATCTTGGCCCCAGCTACGGAAGATACTCTTGATAATTTGGCATGGGGGGAATAAAAGTGAAAAACTACAAAGAATAAGCACATACTCAAGAAATTGTTTTCATTTCAAAGATTATAAAAGATTATGAAAACAAGGAATATAGAACAGGGAATTCCAAAAGGACTCCTGAGAAGATGTGAAAAGGAAGTTGTAACAAGAGCATTTTACCTTACCTGGTAAACCCAACTCAGTAAGTCCAGAGCTAGGGTCTGTGTTTGTTCTCTCCCTCTGCCTGGTCCTTTCTCCCTTTGTAACTGTCTCTGATTCTTTTCTCAGCAGCCATGGTATAACATAATGATTACCGACAGGCTTGACATCAAACAAACCTGCATCTGAATCTTGGTTCTATCACTTCCTGACTGCATAATTTTGTGGTAAGCTCTTTAAATTTTCTGGTATTCAGTTTCTTTATTTGTAAAAATGGAAATATAAAATACTACTTATTTCATAGGGATGTTGTGAGATATGATCCATTTGAAAGCATAGGGCTTGTTATACAGTAAACATTAAAAAACTATTAGCTATTATTATTTTATATGACAAAATATTAATATAATAGGAAACACTTTAATAATTATAGTGTTTGATTGGCACTTTATGGCTTAGAAGTTTATATCTTCAGATACCTTATTTCATTAATACATTATTGCAACACTCTGTAGTTCTAGGCTGAGAGAACAGAAACTACAAAGGCTATGAGGCAGAAGTGTGCTTGACATAGTACTCATGTGTACTGGGGTTTTTACCTTCTATAACAGCTAAACCATAAAACTCCCAAAAGGATCAAAGCTACCCAATGGTAGAGTTGTGTATCTGAGACCCAGAAAATATATTATTTGGTAGTATACAAGGGAAATAGGAGGAAATTTCAAGATGAGTGAAGGGTTTCTCATGTCCTGGTAACCCAAGGTACAAAAGTACAAGCTGATGTTGACATTAAGAAATATTCCCGGAAAAGATGTATACCAAAACTTTGCCACACACAGAGGTCTTCAAGAATAAATGTATACTTGTAATGATAAAACTGGCTTGCATAATGATTTGGTGGGATCCATTTGTGAGACACAAAAAATGTCACATGAATGTTATTAACAGGGTTCTGCCACATGCACACCCCTCTACATTTATAATAGTGAATCAGAACACTTGGAGTCATGCATCATCCTACACTTCTGGATATTTCCATCCACTAGAGTCTTAGCAAAAAGTAAGACCAAAAGAGAAAAAAACAAAACTAATTCCTCTCTCTGTCTCACTTGAAACATAGCAGTAATAATTTGGGCCATGGAGTGATCACTTTTAATTATAGCATTCTAGTTAAAGCTTAGACATCATCTAGGATAATCAACTCATTTTTCAATGAACAACTGTCCACTGTCTTCAGTCCCTCCCTTTACTGCCCTATCCTCTTGCCACTGTCCTGCCTCCTCCCTTTCACCAGTTTCTGGTGCTCACTCTGACATGCCTCCTGCTTGCTCCCTGCCAGCTCTCCCAGGATGAGGTCTGCTGCACAGGAAGACCAAAGCTTTGTACTTGTGCCTGTTTGAATTCTAGCATTTGAGGATATGCTTTGTTCTTTTGTTGAAACAAGGAGAAACTGAATGAACACTTTAGCAAAACAGAGGGTCTGTTTGAAGGGTACAGAGACCTGATAAAGGAAGACCTGACTGTTTACAAGGGCAGCTTCAGGGATCTAAGCAGCAGAAGGGCTAAGATCCTACCAATTCAAGCACTGAAGTCCGGCTGATTTCTGCTGCTGCATGTTTTTTTTTTCCTGCTCCAGATTTAAATTACCGGACAAGAGGGATACCAAATGACCTGCCTTGGGTCAAGTGCCCACCCTTTGGTAGGGCTAGAGAATTCAGCATCCCTATCAGAACCGCATGGAAGTGAGGATGGTAAAGATAGACAGAGAAAAGATAGAAGAGAAAAGAGAAAAAAACACTTCTGTCAACTCCTAAAATTAACTGCTCTGTTCTGGAATTTTGCATGTGTGTCACGAAGCCTTATTTTTGGACCTTCTTTCTGTCTTAGGACCCAGTTTTTAGACTCAACAGTCTTGTGTGATTGGTCTTGATTTTGGTTCTGGACTATGCTTTGCAACCCTGCTTACTCCACAGTTTTAGAAAATGCAAATCTACTGCTACTCTGCCCTCACTATTGTGGATTATTCTTTAGCTAAGGCAATCCCATCTCTTAGCTCCACGATAGACAAGCTGAGCAGAAACAGACTCAGCAGAGATAGGGGAAACTTTGCCTAAGATGCTACAGATGGTTAGAGGCAGGATCAGGACTAGAACTCAGGTATACTGATTTCCCATCCAGTGCTCTTTCCTTCTTCAGTAATTATTGCCAGGCCAACATTTGAGAGCTAACCAGAAAAGGAGAATAGAGTTATTGCCAGAACATCAGCACATTCAGAAGAGTTTGAAAGTGTGTGGTTTTTTTATGTGCAGGGATTGCGAATTGAACACATTAAAAGTTAGAAATAGAATATCAGCAGTGGTGTCCTGCTGGTATTGTAAAAAATCTTAAGAAGACAAATGGTAGTTTTGAAATGGAGGATTTAAAGGACTTTTTACTTTGCACTTTTCCACACATGTGACAGGTGAGAAAGGAGAAATGGCAGGAGGAAGACTGTCAGGCATTCAGAGACAAGGTTTGCACAGCTAGCTTTGGAGGTGAGCCAGATTACTGGACTGCAGCTCTATTATAAGATGTCACTTTCTCTAGAGCCATGACAATGCCTTTCACTTTGGGAGTGGGTGCAGTAGCTGGCTCCCACATTTCCCATTTACCATTCTACTACCTGCAACATACCCTGTTGTGGAATCTCCTTCACTTGGAACCAGGAAGTGGCACAGGGAGGTCCCACATATGACCTCCCTGTTTTTAATAACCCCATCCCCAGGGAAAAAGAATGAGAAATATTCCAACAGAAGATAAAGAAAAACAAAATAGACAAAATTTACCTCTCTCTCTGGCTATATCAGAGAGGATACACAAAGGGGAACACCCAAGGATGTGTTTATATGATGGCGGAAAGAAGGGCTTGCTCCCCTGTTCTTGAGAGAAAACAGTATATCTGCAGCATTGTGTCTGAGCACTCTAATTTGTGTTTATTGTTTTTACATTTTCAGTCTTCCCAACTATATTGTAAGAACCTGTGGAGTGATATCATTATCACTTGCCTCCACATATCTACAGCACTTCATATGATGATTTGCAAACTGTACCTGCTTAATAAATGCTTATTGCTGAGAATAAAATGCAAGTTTAAAACTTTTGTTGATTTTTAAAATCTATTGTACCCTAATGGAAGTTACTGATTTACTCCTCAATTTCTGTTGCATTTCCACACATAATCCCTTAAGCCTTTTAGGTAAATCCTCAGTATTAATAAGAATATGATTTTAATCTGGATTACCATGAGGCAATTAGATGGTGGCATGCAGTTTGTTGATAAATCAGAGAACCATAAAACTAGAAGAAGCACAAGCTTTGACTCTCAAGGGAGTGCTTTCCAGGATAATTAATTGCCAATTTTATTTTAAATATTGTCACTTACCAAAATTATAAGTATATTCAGTACATATGGTAAATTCCATATGAATATGCATTGTAAAATGAATATGGTTAATTGTATAAATAATGTAATAATATATAACTATATTTTTAACTATGTTTTTAAAACTGTGTAACTAGTGCTTTAATGTTCTGAATTAGTTTTCTAGGGCTGCCATAAACTTGGGTGTTTAAACAACAGAAATTTATTCTCTCACAGTTTGGGAGGCTGGCAGTTCAAGATCCAGCTGCCAGGATGGTATAGTTCTGGTGTGGGCCCTCTTCTGAGATGCTGACTGCAAGTTCTCTTTGCATATTCCAATTTTCTGATAGAAAATATTGATGTCTCTTGTAAAGAAAAAGAATTTTGTGCACATACAGGTTACTGCATCCTCCACTACCCTCAGTCCTGCAGCCTGACCCATTCCATGTTCTTAGGGACCTAGAACCAGCTCAAGCATTTTCAACTTCCCCCTATGGTTGTCACTGGTTTTAGCTCTTTACTCACAATCATCTTCGCATCAGTTGTCTATTCTTTGACCTTTTATTCCACAGTCTTTTGCCCACCAGCATTTAGTGTGGTCAAACCTCCTCCAGCACTGTCTTCTCTACCTTCTAACCTGAATCTCTTCTCCTGTCAAAGTCAAACTTCTTGAGAGAATTAATTCTTATTTCCACTTCCCTGATTCCCATTTGCTCCTCACCCTGGGGCAAATAGCTTTTGATTTCTACCACTTTAAAGAAAGTACTGCACAGCACAACACAAAGCTCAAAGTGCTAAATCCAGTGAGCATTTTTTTGGACTTTTTCTTATTTATTACTCTGCAGTATTTGACAATATTGGTCATGCCCTTCTTTTTGAAATGCTCTTTCCCCACATATCTCTCTGGTAGGTCCTTTTTTTTTTTTGTGGCTGCCGTTCTTCCATTTTGCCCCTTAAATACAGATTTTCTTCACGCTTTGTCCTAGGCTCTTGGCTCTCTTCACTCTGCATCCTCTCTCTGAGTAATCTCTTCCTGTTGCTGGCTTCAATTTCCATCTTTTTTGATGATTCCCAAATCTATCACTCCAGCCATCTGCTTTATAGACTTCTTCTCCCAGGCGTCCTACAGGCCTTTCAGACATAACATTCTGAACCTGAACTCATCATCTCCCGCAACAAATCTGCTCTTTCTCCTTTGTCCCTTAGCTCAGTGGTGGCCATCACCATCTCCCCAGGTGTCCAAGGGAGAAACCTGGCAGAATCCTCAACTCTTAACCCCTTCCCATCCCCGACTCTCATCTCCTTCCTGGATATCACCCTCCTCACTGGCTTTCCTCACTCTGCTCCCAGACGGAGGCTGCAGTGGTGCTTTAAAATAAGCCAACTTGCTCATCACCCTGATTAACGACCAAACAATTAAACCCTGCTTCTCAGTCCATGCTTTCCCTGTAGCTTCCACATTTCATCACTTTCCCCTTCCATCTTTAATCAATAAGCTTTCTCTTTTCTGAGGACCCATTGTGACTTTTCCTGTGTGGCTCCCTTTACTTTATTCTCCATTGTCCCTTAAAATGGCAAACTCCTACTCTCTCAGCTCTTCCCCTGGCTGGTAAGTTAACTTAGCTATGCTTCAGTTTCTTCTTCTGTAAAATAGGGATAATACTAATAATATTTGCCCCAGGGATGTTATAAAAACCAAATTAAAGAAAATATGCTTAGGATTTAAACTGAAGCATACAAGGTACTCAATAAGTATTAGCTATTATTATTATTACTTATTGGACTCAGTTTATATGTCACTTTATCCAGGACTCCTTGCCTGACCTG